TATATATATACACATAGAGAGATGCTACTTTGCGTATTTTCATAGTTCTGGACATAATGTAGTGTATATGCTTCTTGTGGCATCTTGGTGTGATGGGTGTGTCATGATTTTTTTCCCCCCATGTAAACAAAATAAAAGCTTTGCCTCAAAGGTTTGTGGTTCACAGCATTTCAGCTGTATTTTGTTCAAGTGAAAAACACTTACTTGTTGAGGCATGTTGGCAATTATCACAAACCACATCTGTCCAACCTTTTTTAAAAAAAAAAATGTTTGTGTTGAGTCAAAAGCAGAAAAGGCGTCATGTGTCTTTATGTACACTTTTTATTTTCAGCGATCCACACACAACACATGTAGGCAGGAGATGACAAGCCTCGATCACTTTTTGCCCTCATCCTCCTTGGACAAATTCTTGATGATTTCCTCCTTCTTGGCCTGGAGACGTTCCTCTCGGCGCTTGCGGGCCTCCTTGGTCTTGGTACGGCGGGCCTCGGCTTGATCGCTACAAAAAGAGAAATTGAAACGAACCGTTTAATTTAAGGTCCGCTGGTGAGAATGACGTCAAAGTGCGGCGGCACACGTACGCCAAGAGCTTCTTGCGAGCTTTGTCAGCCTTCAGTTTGTGAATGTGCTCCATGAGGATGCGCTTGTTCTTGAACACGTTACCCTTGGCCCTCAGGTACAAGCTGTGATACCTGGAGAGGAAAAAAAAAAAACAGAATTCAGTGTTATTCAATATTGGTGCTCCCAAGCTATATTGTGGTTCAACTACAACAGCTATAATATAGCGCAGGAAAGAAATCTGTAGTTTCCTACTGACATCAACCACAACTGGACACATCTGCAGCCTCCATGTTGCAGGACATGAGCGTTGGAATACAGAAAGTTGATAGCTACTGTAAACTGTTAAAAATAAATTATTGTGAGTTCCTGTGCCATTACATTACAGGTGGAAAGGACGGTCTAATTTCACGGGACAAATCTTGAATCAGAGTGGGCAGATAAGGATTTGAAGAGGAAAAGATCGCGATTGCGGCTCTCACAAATTAGAACTATGCTCACATCCAGTCCACACATTTATGTTCGTTCTAAACACTAAGGTTTAGCAACTTTGGATTTCACATTTTTCTCACAATTTTATAATACAGGTGTGCCCCACATAAGTCTGTCATTTTTTACAAATCGACATTTGAAGTGTTAAACAGACGTCCTTTTTTTGGTTTCACAAGGGGTGATGGATTTGAAAATGCGAGAACTCTGCCCATTGCACGCAATATACACCTAACGTTGAGTAGCAGTCGATTGTTGTCATGACATAATATGAAACATATCCATGTCAGAAATGTAGTATTCTTTGATTACCGAAATCCTATTCTAAATTCCATTTTCTAGACGCCTATTTTCATTACATGTGCCTGTCGATCTTCTTGGATTCCCTGTAGCGGCGCAGCAGGCGACGCAGGATCCTCATGCGGCGCATCCACATCAGCTTCTCGGGCATACGGGCATTGGCGGTACCCTTTCTCTTGCCTGTGGACGGGAAGGCAAACTGTGGGGAAAAAGGCCTGGTACACAGTCTCGGTTGCAGCAGGCAGTGTGAGGCACCTACCGACGCCCATGTGCCTGCCCTTGCGGCGTGCCAGCGTGTTCTTGCGGCAGCGGGCCCTGGAGTGGACCGTGACGGGCTTGCGGATAATGAGACCATCCTTCACCAGCTTGCGCACCTGCTGGCCTGGAAGGAACAAAAGGAACAGAAGTGAGGAGGAGTTGAAGGACTAGTTAGTACTGAGTCTGCTTGGAAAATGGCGCCCTCTATTGTCAAATGTCAGTATGCACACTTAGGAGATTTGACCATGCTTGTCTAGACTCAACATTTTTTGGAGGAAAATATATTTACATGGAAACAAAGCCCTGTGATTCCTCTTTTAAAGTTTGCCTCCAAAAATCCTCTTTCAATAAAAAAAAAAAAAGCAATGGCATTTAACACGGAGGTCGCTGAACATAAAAAAATACATCACTTTCATTAAAAAAATAACATGTACACATGATAATGTCATTCCAAATAGGTTGCCTGTTTAAAAAAAAACAAAAACTTTTGGCATTGAAAGAAACCCTGCTTCTACCAGTTTTGGTTTTATATTTTATGACAAGAGCAGAACCAGAAATGGAGGGGTGTCTGTCACATGTCATTTAAGCAGGAAAATCGCATCACTTCAATGAATGAATGGAGTATTTCTTTACCTGTATCCTACAAGGATAATAAGCCTGTCTACAGAATGAGTCTATGTATAAAGTGATACGGGCACAGATACAATTCCTTTTTTTTTTCAAGGGGGCATTTGGAAGGGCCTACTTCTAAAGATATTTATAGCGTATTAAGATCAAGAGTATTTGGAGATTTTAGATGAAATAAGCAGGGCACTTCGTCTTACTTATATTTCGGGTGTACTTACGGGAGTTGGCATTGGCGATCTCGTTGGTCTCGTTGGGGTCGAGCCAGACTTTTTTCTTGCCACAGCGTAGCACGCTGGCGGCGAGCCTCTTCTGGAGCCTGAGCATGCTGCAAGAAAACAACACACAATTGAACAACTAACATATAGACGAATATTCTTAAAATATACATGGATATATATGTTGCATTTCTAACGTGGACTTGGGAATGCCGAGTAAATAGCTGATGTTGCTAACCGCTAGCCGGGTTGACAATATGGCCTCTCCGCTCCGCTACATCGTGTGACGCGAAGCAACGATAAAACACGCCATGGCGGCATTTGGACGTGACGTTGCTACCTCTGCTACTCAAATGTAACATATAACGTTTTAACTGAGAAGCGCGTTGTGTAAATAAATTGTTTTGGGACAATTTAAATCGGCCATTACTTTTCTTTCGACAGCAGTCCTACCTCATGGCTGCTACTTCGATAGAAAAAGAGCGATTTCGGCAATGGTCAGGAATGTACCATTACTGAGGCTAGTCCATCTCGATCTATGAAATAGCTTTCTTCGAATGCAGACTCAATTTAGAAGCACTATCGCCTAGTTTACTTAAAATAACTGTTTATCAGGCTCAACATAATAACATTTCGTTTTTCCTTGGTAGATACACTCATTGTACTTAACAATATCCTCAATGTAATCCCCTTTTTACCATAATGGTAACGACCACTGTCGTTCTGGTGCATTGTGGGTCGTATGGCTGCAGTAAACTTTTATACCACACGAGGACACTGTTGGGGTGGCTAAAGGCCCTGGAGCAATTTAGTAAAAGTTATTCGTAAATATTTTATGCGTAGGACTATGGAATCCTATCACCTTCAAGTAAAATCAGAAAAGAAATGTTTTTAAAAAGCTGACAAAATCTATTTCAAAATAAACACGGAAAAAAATGTCAGCCTGTATAATATCAGTATTTTTGGGAGGAATTGATGCTGCCACTATGTGGCACCTTTGTGTCAAGACCCCATGTTGAAGTGAATTGTGGAGTTTCATTTCGACAAAAAATATGTTTTTCCACCGTCGTGTGACATGTTTAGGCAGTTCTAAATCTTTTTTTTCCCAATTAATCATGGATTTATGCAATTCGCATTGGGCTTGGTCGCTATCCCCCATGAAGACTGCCATGAAATAGACTCGATACAGTGCTCCTCATTCTACTGCGTTTACTTGCTATACAGACGCAGCTTGGCAGCAGTAACAGGCCGTTGCCATGGGAACATTGCAAGCCAGCAGTGTGGGTGCATGCATGCACTCCTTCACCTGAGGTAACCGACAATATCTCCAGCATAATCTATCCGCAAAGATAAAATGCTGCTCCATT